ATATATTTCAAATTGCAAGCCATTTATTCTTTATTTTCGTTCCGTGTTTTTGACTAGTTACCGTCCCCGATAATTTTAACGATCTTTCATTTTCATACATTCGAACATAATTTACATCGAATTGAATGGACAAGACATCGTTTTTTTTTCTTCTTCTTCTTTTTTTACTCTTTGAATTGACGCAAATAACAATCGATTTGTTAAATAGAATAAATATTTGCAATTCTTTTTGCTTCATTTTTTATCGAGTAGAAAAAACATTAGGTAATTAATTTTCTGTTTCGCAACGTTATCATAAAGAGCTTGCAAACGAAGGTTGATACGGATGTAACATAGAATGAAAAGTTCATTTCTTATTGGTCGGCGAACGTAACAAGTGGCTTCGGATGTTTTCAAGTCTCTTCCGGATTCTTTTTCTGCGGTGGTCCTTCTCCGTTCTGTAAATCCTAGCCACTTTATGGTAGTGAACAACGACGGTAACATAATATTAACTTTTTCCACTATAGAGGAGACCTTCTTTTCTTCTTCTTTCTTTGTTTTCGTTTCTCTCTCACGTTAACAATAGGGGCATCTCTCTTCATCTCTTCTTATACTCTCGAACAGTAAACGCCAACTACATCGAATAACTAACCGAGTGCGAAAGAGAATACGAGCTGGGCGGTTCCTTAACGACCTAGCTAGTCAGTAATTAAATAAATGATCGCGTAATATATTATCTTCTCTGTCGTCTCTCTATTTCTATATCTCCCTTAAATATGCCAGGGAAATAGATATAAAAATACGTCGATGGATCGGCCGTATCGAATCCTACCAATTTCCTTCTCTTTTTAACCGATCAATATCCGAGTCTTCTTATTAGAACGGAAATTCTAATCCTTTTACCAATCATATCGATTAATGGGCATCATCATTTACCTTTTTTTATAACTCGTAAATCTTTAAATGTAAATAGTAAATGGCTGTTACTGTTATAATTTAATAAACAAAAAGTCAAAAAACCGATTTTATAATTCGTTTGAATGAAATTTCCAGTTTACACGTTCGATGACAAAATCAATGGATTTTAATTGTAACGAATCAAATCAGGAAATATCAAAACTAGAACGAATATTATTTCGAAATAAATATGAAAATGTCACGAAGCGAACATTTCGATTTATATCTTCCTTTCATCCTGAATGTTTTATGTTTGATAAATTTTCTTACCTTTTATTCGGCATATACTTGTAAACGTTCGTTACACCCTATATACGTCATAAAATGTAGACATTGCACTTTGATAAAAACCTGAAGGGTGTGTCCTGATTTGGGTGTGTGTTCCTTAGGTCACCCTGTTTGTGTAATACATGGAGATGTTACAGCACGGCTCGTTTCCGTTTCATCCCTTTGTCATCGCGGTTGTTTCCTCATGAACATATAAAATCTACCTCTCTCTCTCTCTCTCTCTCTCTCTCTCTCTCTCTCTCTTTTATGTGCGTTGTATTAGATTCATAAATGTATACCATACGTACATATATTTTACGTATTCCACGATGATAACAGACACACAGAAAGAGTGGTAATACATATGAAGTGGTAATACATATGAGTGGTAATATATGTTACTTTAGCTCTTTCAATCCACTAGGGCAATTATTTATTTGCGTTCCATTATGGATAGTTTCTTATATTCGAACGTAAGAATCTCCACATTCTTTATTCATTTCATGTAACAAAGATGTCCCGTCTTTGAATTTTTTCATCTCTGATGAACTTAAACGTAGCCATAATTTAATCTCATTCAATTCATTAAGGAATTCATTTTTCTATCGGGGAATTATAATTTGATTATTTTCGAACGATTATTTATTAAGAAAAATAATTTTTTCTCTTCTTATGCGTTTGTGATATCTTTTGATATACATGACGCGGACCTTTTTTGTCTCTGCCTTTTACAGAGTTCTTAAGACAGAAAATGTTTGTCTTATTATCAATATTTTAGTAAAACAGATGTTTTGTACTGAAATATGTGAGACCATTTCAGATAGTAAATTATCTTTTTCTTTTCATTCTTTACTCCTATCCGTTAAAAAAAAGTACACTGCCTGAGTATAAGAATTGTATGGGTGTGCTCAATTAAAATCCTGAATTGGTGCGGTTCATATGCACACCCTTGGAAGTAATTTATTGTCACACGAAATATTTCCTCTTAAAGGTCATTAAGGGTTTTTTATTCAGCACGAAGAGTCTCTCGCATGAACGAAACACGAGTAAGGGACCATGGCCTATACCTATTTATGTTTTAAACGTGTTTCCCGGAATGTCCTAGGCCGTCCAATAAATTCAAGAAGCAGGCTCGTAGTAGGCCAAACGATATACGACATTTATCTTATCAGTCTGGCCATTAAATAATTACTTTTTTAGTTGTAAATCAGTGTAATGTCGCGTACAGGGAACACACTATTAATATTTATTTAAACATATACGAGACGAACTAATCCGGACGCAAGGTTCATTCCTTCCCATTTCTCCGTTAATCTTTCCAATCGTTAGTCCATATAGTTGGTACAAATCATCAGAGTCAAGTCATATTCAATCCCATGATAGTCACAAGCGCTGATACCAACGTAGTAGAACTTGACAGTACGATCTAAGATATAGGTATCTAATGGCGAATAGTGTAATCTCGATCTTGTATATTTGAGATCGCGCTTCTAGCATTAAATTGCCAAAGGCTAAAGCATTACTACTGGTATACCTCTTACAAAGGAAATACGGTAACGTGCGTGCGTCATTCATAATACATACGCTTGGCGTATTATACGACGAGGCCGTTGTTTCGTTAATAAGAAAAGTTTTTTTTATATAAGCGCATCGTCTTTTTTCACATTCGATAGGCATTGATTATATTTCACTTTCTCTTCGTCACGGTACAAATGAGTTATACGATGAACTGGAAAGGAGAGAGAAAAGAAAGTTGGTCCATATGGCTAGTCGAAACCGAAATCGAATTAGACGGGACAACGGCTCGTGAAAACGCAGTGGCAGGTGCTTTTAAGGTGATTTTTTTTTTTTCTTTCGTTCGCGAACTTTTATATAAGGTTGCTTTTATAGGCGGTACCCTCTCTTTCTTCTTCTTCTTCTTCTTCTTTTTCTTCTTCTTCTATCTTCTTCTTCGTTAAGATCCAATAAAGGCGCGCGTTCGCCTTTCTGTGCTTTCTCCTTGATAATGTCATTTCACGAGCGTCGTCGTCGAACTTTATAGTCCAGACGGGTTTAAGCGAAATTAGACGGCAAACGGCACATTGTATCGGCGAAAAAAGAAATGACCTCTTTCAAAGTAACTCTTTCTAAGGGAACAAAATGCAAGTAAATCATTTTCTTCTTTATCGAAGGTTAAAATTTGAATCTCTCAATTCGCGAATTATTTTTCAGTAACCGTACAAATCTTAAATATCTGAAAGATTTATTGGGGTAAGATAAGATAATGTCTCGTAATTCCAAAAGTGAGTTTCAAATTGCTCTTCGAGCAATGACTAGCGGGAGGGTTGGAATAACTGAAGTCATGCGGAAAGAACCCTTGAAAGAGATTCTTGAGGCAAGATTCAGTTCCGGATTCAGTTCTTCACGAGATTTCTTATTTTATGTTTTATTAGGTCATTTCAGGGGGGAGTTTTCTACTATAAAATTGTAGAATCTGATGGTTCGTTATGCGAACGTAAAGAACGTAACAGAAAAATATTGCCACGCCAATGAAAAACTTTATCTCATTGACCTAAATCGTTATTAATTTAGTAACGATTTTTCCGACTACTAACGTTGAGAAAAAGTATTTGGAAAAAAAAGTTAAATAGACATTCCTAACAACAATTTCATCCTTCTCTCGCGTTATTAATTATACCGGTGAGATTACTATTCCAGGAAAGATGAGATTCCATCGATTACGCCGTTGCACGCAGAACTGTTTTTAATTACGAACTGAGAATTTCCAGAAAATGATTGTAGGAGAAGGTATAGAATGAAGTTTAGCGAGTATCACGATCACAGAATTTCTGTTTGCGATGTGTTTCGTCCTTTTCCTGATAAGGATAACTTTGCCTTCTTTGAATTGTACTACGATGCGCAGCAAGGTCTATTACCATTTTACCAAGTCCTTTTCTTTGGTAAGAAAAAGCGAGATGAGTAAGCGAGAGAATGTAGGAGGAGAAAAAAGTGCAAGAAAAATCTTCTTTGTGTATATTCTGAGATTACTAGCGAGAGAAATTCTACGTTCCTTGCGCACGTATATAGAAATTATTACGGAAAAGAAGAAAATATTTAATACTACACTTCCTTTTTGTTTCCTTTCTTCATATCTTCATTTCTTTCTTTATTTCTTTATTCATTATGTTTTTTCTCTTTCTCTCCTTTCATGCCATTTTCTTTCTCTTTCTCTCACTTCGTTCCATTGCGTATTTCACATTTTTATCGTGAATTGTAAATAGAAATGAGAGAAATCGAAGAAATTCGATAACTTAACTTTTTCGATTATTTTTCAACATTATCACAGGGAAATATTTAATGGAATCAGTTTTGCGAAAAGAATAGGCTCGTTATAATTTTCAATGGAATCAAATGGAATGTTTCAATTTTGTTTGTTTGTCGAAGCTTTGCACGAGTCATGAGATTTTTTAAATGCGCGAATGTAGATGTGAGCTGTTTTCTATATCAGCAAAAATTTGAAGCTACAACAAAATTTTATATACTATTTATGTAGCATAATTTACATTGTTGCTTTTCTATTTCAAATAAATTCTTCGATTGGTTTCCTATTTCAATATAAACCTTTCGTACGATCGAGCAGGAAGACTGATGGATAATTTATTAATGTTATCGAAATGTTGCGTCCTCTTAATAGACTTAAATTAACGAAACGATTTTAAATAAATGAAAAATTTACTTTACTATAATTAAATAACAAATGCTATACTTGTTACAACATATACGCATATATACGCATATATATGCGTGATCTTAATAATGAATTGATCACGATAAAATCTAAAAAGTTGCGTTTCTCTCAGGGAAGTCGAGTTGTACTCAATTCTATCTGTTGCAATTTCCAAGTTACATTGTTCCTCTGGATATGTTCCATGCAATGTATAATTTAATTCTCTTATTTTAGATCCTTGAAAAAACTCAAGGATTCATTCTCCACGTTGTGATGGCATATTTGTCCTTTTGGGCCTTGCCGCGTTGATCCTTTTTTCCGTTCCTATAAATAAATTTGCCATTTAGCGTTCAACGAGTCAAGGAAATATATATACGTTATAAATAATATAATCTTTTAAGTGTTTTATGTCTTGATAATACCTGACTTCATGAAACTTCGTCATGCCGTAATATTGTTCGGTCTCGAGCTTAAATTAACTGCAACTGTAGATCTTTTCCCGTTGCCGCGCTTTTAAACAAATTTTAATATTAAAATATACAATAATATTATAGTAGTGATCATGCTTAATGCATAGGTAATAAAGAAACGAATAAAACGAGTGTAGTTATTATGCAGAGTTCATAATATTAATATAATATAATGCAAATATTATGTTGATCATTATGATGACGGAACTAAGGACGGGGGATTGGGAGGCGCAGTTCATTGGCCGTGACGAATGCTAAAAGCGGTCGGGCTAGTTTCTTTTGATAATGAATAATTATTCTCGTTTATAGTTTTTTAATTTGCCTTTTTCCAACTCGTATGATGCTTTTTTTGATACTCAACTCTTTTTTTGTCCCTCTTCACGGTATACCTACGTATAAATATAAAATGTTCAAATAAAATCGTATCACAATGATCAAAGTTTTTCCTTATTCACGGATAATTTTTCTGCATTTTTTAACGTTGAAAATGTGCGTTGTTATCGATGACGTTCATCGCGACGAAACCAAGAGAAAAAGACAGAATTTGGTAGTATGCAACTTTTTACTTCTTCGCTTGTAGTTGCATTATCTGACCTAAACAGTCATGGGTGCATTTGGACTTCTCTAAAGAAAAGAGACTTCTCCGAATCTGAAACCGAATCTGAAATAGCGACCATAATGTCAAATTAACCAATTAACAAAGCTATTAAGGAAAAAATTAAGGAAATAGTACATGTCAAATGAGACAGAAGCATTTCCGTCAAAAATACTAATCACATTATGTTAAGAAAAATAATTGTTTTCAACTTTTATAGAAAAATACACATTGTCTTTTTGGAGTTTCATTTGAAATATCAATTAAAGAGCGAACATATGAATGGACGGTACCGTAGAAATGTATTAATTGTAGAGAGCCACTGAGGATTGCATAGATTGTAACTTTTGACATTGGCTGAATTATTCGTGTCCCATTGACCTTCTACGAAAACTCTACGAGACAGAGGGATGATTCTTCGATACATGTATTTATAATGGCCTCCTTCATCATGCTCCGATATATATTTTTATATCCCATATAACTTGTTTTTCACGTTATTTTCTTAATAAACAGTTTTTTACTATTGCACGAACATCATGTCGCAAGTTTTATTCTTCGTCGAGATAAAAAAATTTTATTTAAATACGAAAGAAATTTTATTAATAATTTTTCCTCCAAAATTATTAACAAAGTATCTTGAATTGTTTTCAAAAATGTTGAATCACTTTTAAATGATTTTATTTATTGAAAAAATCGAATTAATTACAAAGTAGATTATACTCTAGATAGAAATTTTATTTTGACTTGGCGACTAGCATTGATTTAGCGCCCGTACTAATTCAATTGCCTCCATTATTAATGGAAATAATCTCGCAATAGATTGTTTCTACTAATGAGAAGATGTTATTTTTTTATTTTTTTTATTTTTTTTTATTTTATATTAAATTCATTTTTTACTCTTTGATTTGATTTTAGTACTAGACACGTCCTCTTGATTGCGAGATGGGTGTTTGAATATTTCACACTTTATTGGAAAATTTTCTCAATGAGAAAGGAAATGTCTCTCACGAGGACATTAAATACTTTTGAGAATAAAATTGCAAATCCTTGATAAGGCCTTGAGCGTAAGGAGAAATGCAAAAGCATAAGACCCAGACGTATTTTATATAACAATACCCGTGAGAGTTTCTTGAGAAATCCAAGAAAAAGTTCTTATCGTTGCACAAAAAATAAATGGATTTATTGGTCTACAAGTGCGATGATTAAAGTAATTGGTTACGTGCGATGATACGTCATGGTAATATGAAGAAATCTCAAATGGTTTTATTTCCAACCCGAGAACTATTCATTATATTTGATGACTTTAAAATAATCTATAAATTATAGATTTTGTTTGAGGAAAGTAAAAGGAAGGTGATGTCGATAGAATCGAAAACGAACGATCGTGAAGTTAATTTTAGATTCGATTAAGATTCTTTCCTTTTCTCTTTTTCCTTTCTTTCTTTTACTTTTACAAGTTGAAATTTTGTTCGTCTTCCCCGTCTTAAATGTTCACAAAGTTGATCGAGCACGAGCTCGGTCTTCATCAACTTGATCAAGAACGAGCCGAAGTTTTCTCTTATTTTCAATTTCGCTTCTCCCTAATCTATAGATCAGATGTCGTGAGAGCTATCTCAATCCGTTAACCGTCAAGATTTACAATCGGTAAACGTTAATGTATGAAATTTATTTTAATAAAAAAATTAAATGATATGGATTTAGAGTTTTCTGGTGATATGTTAAAGCAATGTAAAACGAATAATCCAAAAGGTATAATGCTCTTTTTCGGTAGAAAGAAGAAACAAATGATTTATTTATTCTCGTATCAGTGGAAAAATTACATTTTTATGATGAGTTAACTCGTATTTCTCGGTTAATAGCTTAATGCGAACTTAAATAAAGAAAAGAAAAAAAAAAAATGTGAGAAATTCTTCCGATGCGTTAGCCTAGGGCCAATTTTTTTCTTTTTTTTTTTTTTTTTTTTTTACACGATAAACTCGCTTTTAAGTCGATAAGCGTTGAACGTTTTAATTCACTAAGCGTAACCGAGACTTAACAGACAAGAATCGATACTTCGTTTTCAATCATGATCCGATAAAGTTACGTAAATATTATCTATTTTCCATTTTGCAAATTTCACGAGACGAATTTTTCGATAAATTATTTCTCTTTCGAACATTCTTTCATCAAATGGGAAACTTTATTTAAGTTAAAGTAGTTTCGTATAGAAAAGTTATTAAACGAAAATCGATTTATCCGCGTGAAAGAATTCCAAAAGTTTCAGTGTATCTATGAGGATGAATCTAACAATGAAGATAAAATCAAGAAAGTGGATTATTTTGTACAAATATAAAAACGAGGCAAGAGGATATTTAAATCGGGTAGATCATGAAGAGAGAATTTTCGAATTTGTTTCGTCGAATTTGAGAAGGATTGAATAAAACTAACGCGTATTTGATTGACAAGCGCACATATATCTATATAGTACGTATGCAAGGATAGGGAAATCAGGTTGTCGATTCCCAATGGGTGCAGAAGGTGAATGCTTTCAGTCGAAGAAGTTTCGCGTTCTATCGATCAGAGTCTACGTTCTTTCTAGCTACCTCCCAGTAAATCCCAAGTGTATGCGAGCAATCGTATAAAAGATCGAGGCCATGATTCATCGCCAAAAAATTCTCAGCTTACTAGATTTATCGTTGGAATCAATCAGAGTTGAGTATCGATATTGATATCGTTTCATTGTTACCGCGTTTCTGCATATAATCTCGCTCTTGGTAGGTTCGCACTAATCGACCTAAGTCGGTGGTGTACCGATAATCCTACACCTCTCTCTCTCTCTCTCTCTCTCTCTCTCTCTGTTCTTGAATCTAGGTAATTTCTCAAGTTGAGAAATTCGTACGGAAGATATTCGTTCCAATTAACGCAGTGAATGCGTTTTATTATATCGTTGAAATGCTAAGGTAAGGTAAATCGGTTGAATAACTGAAACGAACGACAATACTATTTAATTAAACATTCTAAGCGTTTCACGACTATCGACTTGACCCAGATCCCGTTAAAAAGTAGAGTAAAAGGTAAATCCCCATGCAAGTTAGATATCTTTTGCGGCCGAGAATACCCTATATTTTTCTTTACTCTCGTCAGGGGTGTTTTCGTAACTTGAATCGTACAATAGAAAGTTATCCCTTTGAAAGTTATTCCTTTTCATATCAAAAGAACATCGAAAGAATAGTGTTATAGCGTTTGTAAAACTTTCCGAACTTTTGATATAAATGGCCGATTTTTTTTTAACGAAATTGTTTAACGAAATTGTTTAAAAGAGCTCGATTTCATAATACCTTTGAATTATTTAATAAGGGAGAATCGATTGAATTACATTTTTGGTGGAACGATACTAAGGAAATTTATTTCTAATTTCCGTATGGTTCGTTAAACCAAACTTACACCTATCTTTACTCTCTTCTTCCATCTCTTTCTTGTTCATTAGTTCTCAGCGTTCTCTACTTCCTTCCGTGTTACTTTACACTCTGTCGTAAGCGATAAAATTGCGCTCGACTATTCACATTTCGTTAATGTATTTCAATTTATACTCAGAATTTATGTAATCGGACACGCATTTTGATATCCGATGAATTTTTTTTTCTATCAGGGTCAACGTTATGTTTAACGTTTGGATATTTTTTTTATGCTCTTCTCCAGCATGATTAGTAGGAATAATTATTATAGAGAATAAAACGCCTTTGAATATCTGTAGAACTTCTCTCGTTATAAACTTTTACATCTTCAATGTTAACGATTAAGCTCTTGGCGAAATTTCGGTGCTGGAGCGAGGATTAAAAGGGCGTAAAATTAAAAGGTAAGTGGTGGTGGTGGTGGTGGTGGTGGTGGTGGTGGTGGTAGTGGTGGTGGTAAATGGCTATAAAGAAGGTAGAAGTAGTAATAAGTAAGCGCAACGAGTAAAGGGGTCGCAAGAGTTTAGACGTAGGTACTTATAAGAGGAGGGCATGGCATATACGTGTCTTTAGTATGTGACTCATTCTAGGTTTACTTTTCCTTTCATTTTTTTTTTTCTCGCAAATGCGCTAAATGTCCTAAGTAATGTTACTACTCGTCTACTTGCAATTATTACGACAATTTTCATGGGAATTAAAAATCAGTCGCATGTTTCATGAGCTACAGCACATTGATGTAATGTGCGTGCGCGTGCGTATGTATAGAAAGTAGAACAAGTAAATCGATCAAGTGGTTTGTCTTAAAATGAATCCCATTTAAAGAAAAATGCAAGTTTATTTGATCTTAATGATAGTAATAAATTCTCATCATAAATATATAATAAGTTCTAATTAACGTTACTGAAATGTTTTCGATAGAAAAGAATCATTCGATATTATGAATTAGATATGACTCTTCAGAGAGAGAGAGAGAGAGAGAGAGAGAGATAATCAATCCTCCACGGTAATGGC